GATAATGTACTCTGTGTGTATGTGCAATGCTGTTCAAAAAAATCTACCAAGTATGACTAATTATATATATATATATCTTAGTGAACAAACATTGACACTTCCAGCTGAGCTTTGAAACAAGGAAGTATATATGTTTAGGATAAATTAACAAAGGATGGAACCTATTATTAGATATTTCTATATAAAAGCAGTTCCTCCAGCATGTTTAATTGTTTTTACTGCATGTACCGGTATGTTGCATAGCGACATCCCAGCTATAGCCCCAAAATGAAAAAATCTAAATGATGCAACTGATGTCTGATCACAAGTCAAGTGTTTGCCACTGAAAGAATATTGAAGACAAATTTAACTGGAACTGTAAGCCAAAGACATACTTATCCGCCACACTCAACCATTGAAGTTTATAATATCTCAGCCAATCAGAGGCCAAAGCGGCCATCTTAAATCCCGAAATTCAAAGTCAGTCTTATTATATTATTTTTTTCCCTTTGTATCACTGCCAGAAAGTTTTACTGTAATTCATTACATAATTTTGGAGAATACATCTGGGCGAGGCTTGAAATGACAAGTTCAATCTGAGACGTCGGATGAATATGTGTAGTAAGGTTATAATTACCTACAATGGTTCTTTAAATACATTTCATGTTTTTCTGCAAATCATTGCTCACCATCACTCTGTATTAATGTTCACTTTGCTTCCCGAAAAACTTGACCCAAACAACAAAGCCAGACAAAACACTGAGGACGGAGTATCAACATATCTGGTTACCATAGCATAAAATGAAACTCAAATGTCAAGAACCCTTTCCTGATAAATGCATAACAAACCTTTATGAGTTCCAGCTAAAATGGAGTTCTTACTACCAGATTAATACAACAGCTTGTATCAATCATGTCACAGTGTAAAATAAGGAACCTTTCGTTACCTAAAAACAGGCTGTATCCTTATGGTAGGATTATAAAAGGCATTATTTTTCCATGTCTTCCTCAATATTTATATTTTTTGCTATTTATGCACATGGTACTAATTAACAGAGGTATGATTCCTGGATAACATAACAAATGTTACAGATGTACCCTTCGTTTTCTCCAGATCAAAGGATATTTTACATCCCCTCTAAATTTTAAAGTTCTGCCTAAGTAACACTACCCCTCATTCCCAGATTTCAAATTTGGAAAGAGAAAAAAATGCTTACAGGAACAATCTATAGTTCACCATACAAGCTAATAGAATTATCCCTTGATAACAATACAGGGCAGAAGAATGACCAGGTCAAAGAGGTCTGGTCCGTGGTATACCTTCAGGTCAAAGGTCTGGTACTTGGAATACCATACAAGGTAAAGAGGTCCTGTCCTTATAATACCATACAAGGTAAAGAGGTCTGGTCCTTAGAATACCATACAAAGTACAGAGGTCTGGTCCTTATAATACCATACAAAGTACAGAGGTCCTGTCCTTAGAATACCATACAAAGTACAGAGGTCCTGTCCTTAGAATACCATACAAAGTAAAGAGGTCTTGTCCTTAGAATACCATACAAAGTACAGAGGTCCTGTCCTTATAATACCATACAAAGTACAGAGGTCTGGTCCTTAGAATACCATACAAAGTACAGAGGTCTGGTCCTTATAATACCATACAAAGTACAGAGGTCCTGTCCTTATAATACCATACAAGGTAAAGAGGTCTGGTCCTTAGAATACCATACAAAGTACAGAGGTCTGGTCCTTATAATACCATACAAAGTACAGAGGTCCTGTCCTTATAATACCATACAAGGTAAAGAGGTCTGGTCCTTAGAATACCATACAAAGTACAGAGGTCTGGTCCTTATAATACCATACAAAGTACAGAGGTCCTGTCCTTATAATACCATACAAGGTAAAGAGGTCTGGTCCTTAGAATACCATACAAAGTACAGAGGTCTGGTCCTTATAATACCATACAAAGTACAGAGGTCCTGTCCTTAGAATACCATACAAGGTAAAGAGGTCTGGTCCTTAGAATACCATACAAAGTACAGAGGTCTGGTCCTTATAATACCATACAAAGTACATAGGTCCTGTCCTTATAATACCATACAAAGTACAGAGGTCTTGTCCTTAGAATACCATACAAGGTAAAGAGGTCTGGTCCCTGGTATACCTTCAGGTCAAAGGTCTGGTCCTTGGAATACCAAACAAGGTCAAAGAGGGTCTGTCCTTTGAATACCATACAAAGTACAGAGGTCTGGTCCTTATAATACCATACAAGGTAAAGAGGTCTTGTCCTTAGAATACCATACAAAGTACAGAGGTCCTGTCCTTATAATACCATACAAAGTACAGAGGTCTGGTCCTTAGAATACCATACAAAGTACAGAGGTCTGGTCCTTATAATACCATACAAAGTAAAGAGGTCCGGTCCTTAGAATACCATACAAAGTACAGAGGTCCTGTCCTTAGAATACCATACAAAGTACAGAGGTCTTGTCCTTAGAATACCATACAAAGTACATAGGTCCTGTCCTTAGAATACCATACAAAGTACAGAGGTCCTGTCCTTAGAATACCATACAAAGTACAGAGGTCCTGTCCTTATAATACCATACAAGGTAAAGAGGTCTTGTCCTTAGAATACCATACAAAGAACAGAGGTTTGGTCCTTAGAATACCATACAAAGTACATAGGTCCTGTCCTTAGAATACCATACAAAGTACAGAGGTTCTGTCCTTAGAATACCATACAAAGTACAGAGGTCCTGTCCTTAAAGTACAGAGGTCTGGTCCTTATAATACCATACAAGGTAAAGAGGTCTTGTCCTTAGAATACCATACAAAGTACAGAGGTTCTGTCCTTAGAATACCATACAAAGTACAGAGGTCTGGACCTTAGAATACCATACAAAGTACATAGGTCCTGTCCTTAGATTACCATACAAAGTACAGAGGTTCTGTCCTTAGAATACCATACAAGGTAAAGAGGTCTGGTCCTTAGAATACCATACAAAGTACAGAGGTTCTGTCCTTAGAATACCATACAAAGTACAGAGGTCTGGACCTTAGAATACCATACAAAGTACATAGGTCCTGTCCTTAGATTACCATACAAAGTACAGAGGTCCTGTCCTTAAAGTACAGAGGTCTGGTCCTTATAATACCATACAAGGTAAAGAGGTCTGGTCCTTAGAATACCATACAAAGTACAGAGGTCTTGTCCTTATAATACCATACAAAGTACAGAGGACTTGTCCTTATAATGCCATACAAAGTACAGAGGTCCTGTCCTTATAATACCATACAAAGTACAGAGGTCCTGTCCTTAAAGTACAGAGGTCTGGTCCTTATAATACCATACAAGGTAAAGAGGTCCTGTCCTTAGAATACCATACAAAGAACAGAGGTTTGGTCCTTAGAATACCATACAAAGTACATAGGTCCTGTCCTTAGATTACCATACAAAGTACAGAGGTCCTGTCCTTAGAATACCATACAAGGTAAAGAGGTCTTGTCCTTAGAATACCATACAAAGTACAGAGGTCCTGTCCTTAGAATACCATACAAAGTACAGAGGTCTGGTCCTTGGAATACCATACAAGGTCAAAGAGGTCCTGGCCTTAGAATACTATACAAAGTACAGAGGTCTGGTCCTTAGAATACCATACAAGGTAAAGAGGTCTTGTCATTAGAATACCATACAGAGTACAGAGGTTCTGCCCTTAGAATACCATACGAAGTACAGAGGTCTGGTCCTTATAATACCATACAAGGTAAAGAGGTCTTGTCCTTAGAATACCATACAAAGTACAGAGGTCCTGTCCTTAGAATACCATACAAAGTACAGATGTCCTGTCCTTAGAATACCATACAAGGTAAAGAGGTCCTGTCCTTAGAATACCATACAAAGTACAGAGGTCTGGTCCTTAGAATACCATATAAAGTACAGAGGTCCTGTCCTTAGAATACCATATAAAGTACAGAGGTCCTGTCCTTGGAATACCATACAAGGTCAAAGAGGTCCTGGCCTTGGAAAACCATAAAAGGTCACAGAGGTCTGGTCCTTGGAATATAACAAGGTCAAAGAGGTATGGTCCTTTGAATACTATACCAGGTTCAGAGGTCTGGTTCTTCAAAAATCACAAGGTCATTGAGGTCTGGTTTTCAGAACACAATATCTTAGGAATAGAATGAGCTAAGGAATACCACAGATGGGTAGCTTACATGGGTAATAGATATTTCCCAGGGATCATAATTATAGCTCACTTGTATGATGTTCCAAGAATAATATCTTTAAACATTTTAATAAAGTATATAAAAGGTGTGATTCCTGGATCACAATACCAAGTTATTGATGTTCAATTAAATGAACAACTCAGCAACGTGTAACAATTCCTATGGTTTCTTATAACCATTAGCCCTTGTAACACCTCATCTTTGTTAATTTAAAAAAAGAAGTACCAAGCATCTATACTTAAAACCATTTGCTTTGTCCGGTAGTAAATGTCACAATAATGTGTCCCTTTTTCTGTGTTAACTCAACATTATATAGCAACACAAATAAAACTTGAATGAGTGATGATTATATATGCATTGCTTATCGCTCTTTATGGTAGTCATCTTTTAAACCACATGACAAGTTGTGGAAAGGGGGATGGGGATTAAAGCTAACCATGGTCGCATGATGAAGAGTAGGGACCAGGGGATGATTGTTCAGGGTAAGGGGGGTTATCAGACACATGAACATCCACACCGTCCTTACTCTCGTCCTGTGCACACATGTGCCCCTCCCCCACATTCATATATATATATCTACCTGTACAAATAAGAATCGAGTAATTATACATAAAACGATAGAGTAACGCCTGCTGTCTGTAGCCGACTCTTATAAGAACATGTTGGATTCTCGTGAACGATTTGGTTGTCATTTCACCGAACAACTTAGATGTCAACAAATTTAACACGGCGGTATATGTGACGATTTTGACTTCCCCAAACTAATGAAAATACATGTGTGTGTTTACCTGTCTCCGATAGGAGGGGTCCGCACATGGAGAGACATTTAAACCGACTGCATGCGTCCCTCCACATCTAGCCACACCCTGGTCAGCCCTTCCCCGGGGGTGAGGGTACGGTGAGCCTGGGGGTGCGGACGACAGGACGGTAACGGTCTCGTCTGTCGCACATCCGATGTAATTTCAGCAATATCAACTCAGACCGGGGTAGCGTGAACGTGCTTCGGGGTCAAAATAGCAGACGACTCTTTCGGAAGAAAATCTAGGTTACACGATGCATGGATGACGTTATGGTGCTTGAATACTATACAACTCGTGTCTCGAGAGAAAGTTTATAAATGTTCATAGCGTACACAGGAAAACCGGAAAATCATTTCATCTTTGAACGGCAGCGACCCATGTGTCCAAACAAAACAGGACAGCGCACACGTGGATTACCCCGCATGGGCCTCAGGAAAGGAGGAGAACGGAAGGCGGGAAGATACTTGTACATGTAACCCCGATTATACACATATACAATTGTATATCACAGACTGGACCTCATTATTTACAGTCAAAATCATACATTTTCAAAACATAAGGCGAGCTCTAACGAGATTAAGGCTCACGTTTTGCCCAATTTGATAAGACTATAAATAGCCATGTCGCGTATATTTTGCAGACCTTGACTTAGATCTGTATTTTTTTGTGTCGCGTAGATAGCAGTGAGATCACGTTTACAGATTGTGTAATCGAGGACCGTAATACAATAATATGCCGAGACAAGTACAGATAGTGTCTGTCGACACAGGTTGTAGTCGTCCACGGAGAGATTAATATGTGCGGTTTCTTTTAAACTTAAGGTTGTCGGAGAAATGAAAAGAGACTTATGTATATATATAATATTTCAATGCGGTCAAAAAACGGGAACGTCTAGCATAGTGATAGACCGAATCCATGTAGGTATATATGTGTTGTACAGGTGAAGTATCTAGTCACAGAATTTAGTTATTAAATTCTATGGTATAATGTATCATATTTTGTTATACTAAGGTGTATAAAATAATGTTAACAGAGAAACACAATTCTTATAAATCCACGGACTTGGATCTATCAAAATTAAATTCGTGGAAAACCAAATATAAATTGAAATAATAAGTTCTGGGGTGATATTACAAACGACAAATACGGTGGAAAACCCAGGATTTTAATTCCAATGAAAATTATCTGGCTATTATTTGGGGGGGGGGGGGGGGGATTTGGGCTGTATCCCCCGGAATTTCAATAAATGGACCCGGCCGCTGATGTTTCTCGCGGCCAACTCCTGAAGATTCGTCCTCCATAATAAACAATGATGAATTTGGACATTTGAGTATGTTTTTAGCATATCAAATTTATAAACAGATAAGTTATGTTATCGGAATACAGGTGGAAAGTCTGAGGTCACGCACGGTCGGGAACACGCCAACAGTCGAGGTCACTGGGTCGGGTCAAAACAGTAGACTACAATACGTGCTCCATGTCAGTAGCGATTGTATTTAGACCCTTTTATATACATGCAGCTATTACGAGTAGGCTTGTTTTGAAGTGTGTGTACGTGTGTCAGTGTTTTGTTGTTTTCCTGGCCACATTTTATAAGATGAACGTAACACGCACACAAGCGATCATGCTTGCACCTTTAAAAATGTTAGTTTGTATTTATTTACGTATATATCCTGATTAGAATGAGGTCGGGTAGCGCTAGCATCAGATCTATGTCAGGTGTCACTTTGTGCTTCTCGGTTTTGTCAAGGTCAAGATCAAACACAATACTGTTTGTTCATCGCGCATCCCATTTTTTCATGTCAGAAATTTTCACGACCAAACATAGTATCGGTGTTTAAACCAGAAAACAAGGTCACGACGAGGGTGAAATTAAACAGCAAATCATCTTACTGCTTCCTCTGGACCGTACAACTGGTCCCCGTATCATGAAGGTCAAGGTATCAGCAAGATATCAAATGTTCCTTTGGGGGGAGGGGGGGGAGAGAGATTATGTATAAATTCCGTGATGTGTCGTGTACGAATTTCTTTTAATGTTCGTAATTACAAAGTAGACATTCCATGACAGGCCAATTTGTATTTTAAATTCCGCACGTTTTTGTCGCGAAGAAGACTATGCTTTGTAAAACAAATTGTTATTTAAAGTTTTAAAAGAAATCCGTAGATGGAGTTAGGTGTGGTCGGGTGCCGCAGTGGATAATGCACTCGCCTTTGACCAAGGCGACCAGGGTTCGATTCCCCGATTGGACGTGAAAAGGTATGGAGTCACCTGCCCGATCACGCCAGTTTTCTCCGAGTACTCCGGTTTCCTCTAACATTAAAACCCCCCGCGCGCTGACATGCCGGCCAACAAGAGCGATATAAGTTATAACTTGTTCCGTAATTATTTATAAAATAAATAAAGTTTATATTTAAGTTTGGTGTGTCACAGTAGACACATATTTAGTAAGTGAGCGTTGGAGACACCGGGACGATAATTGATATCGCTGTCAGGGTACATTATGTACCCAATAATGTACCCAAATGGTATAAAACGCAGTATCATGTCGGTTATTAGGTACACATCCGTCTGCTAACACATTGTCCTAGTGTAGCGAAATAAATATTCAAATTGCACTTAAAATGTATACTAGTATCAAATTATACACTTATGGCTGTTGCAGAAATGCTACGGGAAAGGCTCCCGTTTTAATGATTAAAAACATAGTTATACACGTATATATATAAAAAAAAGAAGAATAAATTTAAGGATCCCTGTACCACTGCTAAAAACTGTACTACGCATTGGAAACTGTTTTTTCTGGTTTTAATCATTCATTTCTAAAAAGAAAACCATGCCTTTGCGGGACCTAATGAAAACTAATAGAGTTGAAATAATCAAAATATAATCTACAGCAGTGTTCTGAGTGTAGAGCTGGAACAGGATTCGAACCATGGTCTTCAGAGTGTGGTACTCTCGCTCTGATTGACTGAGCATACAGTATCTGGTAAGCGGAAGTGTCCTAGCCCAATTCTGTTTTAACTGTATGCAACACGAAATATTCAGATGATATTACTGTAAATACGAGGGATAGGGATCCTTAATGTTTTTAGTCCCAGCTCTAAGTATGTGATCTGATTGATACTCAGGATTTCGCGGGTGTTCAACTCGTCAGTGAAAACGTTGTGTATTTGAATAAAGATTCGAACCCCTCACCTCCCCCATCCCTCTCTCAGTCTATATTGATTTTTATTTTATTTTTATTTTAAAATATGATAACCAATACCCTGTGTCTAGGATACGATATCCTTGTGGCGTCATATCAGATCTGATCTCCAGAAACCTTATTCGCTAGTACTAGCACATATAACCCTACGAAATTGTAGAAGTTTAGTTACGTAATCGGTGTATGGAGCGGTTTGGGTTTGAGGTCACCCAAGGTCGAGGTTACTTGGTCGAGTCACATAAGGTCAAACAGTAGACTACGTGAGTTGTAGGGTAGATGTCTGGATATACTTGTATACCATATAGGTACGCGTTTATCATACAACGGGCCTATTGAAGCACTCAACAAGGAAGTAATATGATTTATATAAAACGTATTCCTGACCGATAACTGGTCCAAAGTAACAATATTTCAGAGTCAAAGTATAATCATCATTTTCATTATCTCAATGCCGCACATGCGTAAAGCCAGATTTTCTAATTAATATATATATTTTGTTTACTGAGGTAATATGAAAAAAATATGCACATTATCTGGTGGTGATTCATTTTAATGCAAGGAAATTCGTATTTTTTCTTTTAATAAATATGAAAATATCATTTAAAAATATCATCTTCAATAAATATATGCTGATTAAAACTAAATCCAGAAGTGTATATGATACATACGCTCAGAGAAGGATAAAACACATTATACAATTGTACTGGTTTTACATTTGTTTGCGGAGGTTTGGTTTAGTGTGGTTTAATTTTGCTTGATGTCCTATTAACAGCTAATGTTATTTAAGGACGTGCATCCATGTGTGTAGTGTATGCGTGCTTGCTTGTGTGTATGCAGGAGACGGGGTATGTTGTTGGCTTGCCTCCGTGTGATAGCGCGGATCTGATGCCGACTTTATAGTGCTATCTCACTGAAATACCATGCCGAAGGCACCCAGCACAGCATTCCGCCCGGTCACATTATACTGACAACGGGTAAACCAGTTGTTGCAATTCCCCTAAATGCTGTACGTTAAGCAGGGAATAACAACTACCAAAAGTGAGGTGTTTCTAAGTAAGGCGCTAGGAAATAAAAGGTAGTTAGAAGTAGAAAGAAAGATTAAGATCCCAAATATTGCAATGGACGCAGCAAATTCTTTTGGTCGCTTTTGTGTCCCCAAATAGAGGACACCAAAGCAAATTTCCCAATTTTGCAGGGGGTTCCCTCATTAGTCGCCTCCTACGATACAAGCCGTGGGTAACAGCAGGTGTATTTTTTTCCCCATCCCCAACCTGCGGGGGTGTTTTTCGGAGGGGTTACCCGGCTCCTGGTTATTTGATTACAGAAGTAATTTCAATTATATCCGAAAAAAAGACCTCATATTTTTCAGTTATTTTTAGTAGTTCACGGATTTGTTTTATCTATCACATGTGCAGCTACATATTTTTGTGTCTTTCAAAACAAATCAAAACATTCAGAAAAGAAACCGGTCTCTATCTTGATACTGACACACTTTCCATACACCTTTCTTCGATCCTTTATCTTTACATTAACGTGAGTATGATTAGTCACCTAGACCCTCTTGTTTCATTCCTCCCCCATTAACACCATCAACCCGCGGTTCTGGCCAACACGAGTGATTAATATAAGCTGAAATTACTTGTTTCATAATTGTTGTAAAATAAATGAAGTTTTATGTTCATAATATATCGGTAAATGACACGTGAAAGAAAACATTAAACAGGTAATGTTTTCATAATTTTAACACCGAAAACAAATATGTATGTCCTGTTGTTAAAAATAAATTATGCTCAGGTAAGATACATAAACGTACTTCTATTTCTACAGCAAACGGAATATTAGGAACCCTGCCCCACTGCATGCAAAACACTATAGATTTTCACCCTATTCATTTATTGTATACCATACATTTAGGGGGATTAGACAACGGTACAACCGCCGACCAGGTAGAGCGAACCCCTCGGGGATCCAGGGTTCGAATTCTGGTCTGGCCCTGTGACATCTTAACTCTCAAAAAAAAATCATTTCATATTTATTATTTTTTCATAAAAGCTATCATGCGCAAAGTATTGTGTTCTTTCCAGAATTATTTATCAAAGCTAGTCATGCCGGGAAAATGTGTTCCAAATGCAAGTATAAAACAGTGTTTTTGCTGTAGTACGGGGATCCTTAACACGAAAACGTTCTCCATCTAACTATACGCTTTTATTCTGGTATAAACCGTCAACCACCGCTCAGATTTACAGGTACAACTTTACGTATGGGGGTTACTGACATTATCC